CATATGGCAGGATAAAAGGGATAAGGTGGAGAAGTAACATTTAAAGGAAAAGAGGTAACTCTATAATCTTTTTGTTCTAAGGAGAAAAAGAAATACAGTACTGTGTCAACCATTGCAGTGCAGTAGAAAGCATACTTGGGTGACTGGAAGATCTTAGTCCAAGTTGGAGCTGCTTTCAGAAACAGTCACTGAAAATAAACAGATGGAACAGCTTAAAGGAAGGGTAGAAAAACTGGCTCCTAAATAAATTGAAAGGTTATCTCACAGAAGAACAGATTGTGATATTTTACATGAGAAACAAAGTCTGGTATTGCAGCCAACACAAAGTGAGCTGACAATAAGTGCATCAAAGTTGAAGTGTTGGAGTGAGTATGATGTAGTCAGGAAGCAGATAATATAGTGTCCTGTTCCAGACCAATTGTGTACACGCACAGAGAAAAGCTAGGTTACTTTGCACTTACATAAATAAGAAAAGGTCTAAAGGATAAAGAATTTCTGGTCAAAGATTTGACTGATTTTGAGAGAAGAATGATATCATCAGCACTGAGTAAAATAGATGCTTTCCAAGAACCTACAGATAAAGGGAAAATTGAACTTAATGAATTTAAATTGAATTTAAACATTTGAATTCAAATTAAAGTTGAATTTATATGATTACATGCATTTATCTTTGGAATAATGATAAATAGTAGTGATATTAACATCTTGTTCAGAGTTTTATAGAGATTTCTATTTTTTTTTTACGTGACACAATGTACTTGGTTCTATTCAATCAATTAATGAAATACCACACTTTAAACTTTATGACAGATGTAAATTCCCTGTTTATTTACTGATAATTTATCCTTTTATCCCCTATTTATCTTTTTTCCTTTTCTTCTTTTTGTAGTTATTTATTGTGGGGGGTTTTTTCAAAATGTTTCAATAATTTTTTTTTAAGTTGAATTAAGGTCACCTGCTTTAATTGTATTTTAAATGTTAATGGGTGATATGACCTATACAGTAGTTATACATAATAACTGCATTGTAGGATTTAGGGCCCAATTCAAAGTGCAGGTTATTTCCTATAAAGTCCTCCATTGCTTAGCGCTAAATTACTCTAAGGATCACCTTGTTTATAATGATTCTGTCTATCCTGTCACATCATCTGGGAAGGCCTGCTTAAGATTTTTCCCCCTTGTGAAGTGCTACCCACTTAGAGGATGGAAGGATGGAAACTGTCCAATTCCAGGAGCCAAGGGGGCCCAAAGCCAAAGCCACTCAGTTCTGGCAGGGTCAAGCCCATCCGGGCGGCCACAACCTTCCCCATCTGGGTGGCCACAACCTTGACAGCTTCATCAGGATGGCTAGGGGCAGAGATGTACAACTGAGTATCATCATCAGCCTACTGATGATACTGCACTCTGTGCTGAAAGATGGCCTCTCCCAGTGGTTTCATGTAGATGTTAAAGAGGAGAGGGCAGAGCCCTGAAGCACCTTGCAACTGGGGCTAGACTGATCACCCCAACAAACACCAACTGGGACCTGCCATGATGAAAGGAGGAGAACCACTGCAAAAAAATGCCCCCTACTCCCAGCCTCCTAAGCTGGCCCAGGAGGATACCACAGTCAATGGAATCAAAGGCAGCTGAGAGATCAAAGAAGGCTAGGGTGGATGCATTACACCCATCCTGAATCAACCAAAGGTTATCCACCAGTATGATCAAAGGCATCTCAGTGCTATGACTCAGGCTGAAACCTAACTGAAATGGGTGTAGATCGTCTGCTTCTTCCAGGATTCCCTTATTGTTATGAATGACTATATTACAGAGATTTCTTTTTGGGATTCTTCTACCACTGAGAGTTGTATGATTTGGGGTATAGAAATATTTTTAATGAATAATGTGAGTAACTTTTCAATCTCGAAGTTTTAAAATGCACTCTGGAAGCTCAACGGGACACAAGAGATGCAGAGTGCATGCACATAGACCAAATCTTAGTAAATCAAGTAAATAAGCATTGCATTTTCATTTACACAACCTCAACAGCTACAGCAACATTTGTGTGTTAAATACTGTTGTACACATAAACATAACTCCACTTTTTTTGCATCCTTTGCCTCCACAATCAAGAACAGTATAACATATATCTCAGCATGAAGTCTTAACTTTCCTATAGCAATGAATTTTTTAAACAGTAGTAACTAACCAGACAGAGCAGCAAATTTTCAGCTGTGAGCTTTCCCCTACCCCTAACCATGTTGTCCTCTCTGCAAGGCCCTACAACATCCCCCATCTAATTTAAACCAATAACAGCAGGGACATGACTACCCTGGTTAGGCTGAAAAAAAATTGAAAAAAGGAACAAGAATCTAAGTGCAGTCCTAACATAATGTTTGAAATTGCATGGCTTGAAGCTGCCAGCTAATCAGAACAAAAAAGTATTTTATTCTGGCCTCAAAACATTCAACTATGCATTATTTATTTTTTTTGCTTAAAACCCAGAACATCTGAAGTGGCAATTTTGAGGTTAAAATGCTTTGCATATCACTAATAAAAACATGTTATCTTTGCTATAATATAATAATAGGAAATTATTACAACCACATTATGTATATTTTGTGTACCTGTAGTTTGTTCCTAAATGTCAAGTGAAACAGCCCCAAATTGTGCATATCTAAAAATTTCAGATAGCAAGACCTTACTGAGTATAAACAGAATCATAGAAGAGGAAATGTGGCACCATTTATCCATTAATCAGGATTTGTGTGGAGGGGGGCGGGTTGTGGTGGTGTCCATACCATTCTTGCAATTGTACAGTCTACATTTACCAACCTAATTATAATTTCCTTTTTGCAGGTCAGAACAAGGCGAGAAAAACAAGGAGAGGAGGATTTCTGTACGGCTATAAGAAAAGTACAAGAAATTGTGGAGCTGAAACTGTCTGACCTTAACTGCAATAATAGTACCTGCAGAATCAATAAATTGCATGGGCCATATAGACTAGTTTTTAAAAGAAAGTGTTTAAAGGAAAGTAAAATGGATACTATCAGAACAGCAGCACTTACCAAAGCCATTACAGAAGGAATCACTGCCACAGATGTGATCAGTGATCTAAAAAAGAAAGTAGAAAGACTGAAGGCAGAGCTGAAGCATCGACAAGAGGAAGATAGGCAGAAGATTCACAAAGTGGCAAAGGGACTTGATCAAGTGCTTTTCATCCCACCAATGAAAAGACAAAAAGCAAAAATAGGTGCAGAATTTGGCAGAGTTCACCACATTTGAAAGAACACTTTGGGATGGCTTGAAACTTCCCCACCCCATTGTTGGCGTTCCTATCTTCTGAGTGCAGCTGTTGCTCCTTTAGGTTTACTATACATCCTCTCATTTTGAAAGAAAGAATACAGTATGTTTTAAGTATTCTACACATTATCTCAAGACTCTTAATGAGCAGGAGGCTAATATTCACGTCTTTTAAAATTATTTTATCTTCTCAAATTGGTGCCCAGTTTCAGTTTAGCTAAAACAGATTTCAACATGAAAATACACTAAACGCTCATACTGAATATCTGGAGAAGAGATGTGTGTAGAAATCCAGGTAATGCAGCCATATGGAAACAATATTGCTGAAACAGAATCTTGAATTAAAGTTGATTAAAACTTGCTTCCAGTGTTGCTATCTTTAAGTTTCTGCCATGGACAAAAGTTGTGGCATTGATACTGAATGGCTACTAATAAATAAAATCCTAGGGTACTGAAAATCCTAGGGTAGTGAAGGATTTAGCTAATAGTCTGGCTGAACTCTTATGATTGGCATTATGCTTTTTTCTCTCCTCACTTTGTTTTGGACTTTTTCAAAGTTTCCTTGGAATTTTTTACAATTTTGGACTTTCCAGAATTGTTTATAAATTTTACACTCTTCTGTTATATTCTGGCAGTTTCAAAAAAATTTTCATGAAACCCACCTTGTCTCCTAGATCTCAATTTTCCTCTCAATCCTGCTTCCAGCCATTTCTCCCATCCGGCTTGCATCTTCTTTTTTTGCTAGGTACCCACATCTGACAGTTCAGCTCTTCCAAAAGGTTTAAATGCATATGTGACATTTGTATTCCACTGTTGTACCCTCAATTAATCTTGGTTGTAAATTTCTTTCTCTTGTGAATGCAGTTTACATTTGTTCAGGTTGTCTGGATCCTATAATCCCACCAGGCTTTATTCACACCTCCATGTCAAGAGAGGCAAAACATTTTAGCATAACAGAGGCCTAACTATTTAACATAGCATTACAAGTTACAGCAATTTCTGCAAGCAAAATACTTCACAAGGATTCACTCTGCCTAAAAAATAGTTAGGTTATTAGGTTATAAGGTATTTCACAACTTCCTTGGTCTCAAATTTGGTCAACTGTGTTACTGAAGTGCCTAATGACTAGAGAAGAGCAAATGTCCCTATTTTCAAAAAAAAGAAAGAAAGAAAGATCCAGCAAACTGCAGACCAGTCAGTCTGGCATTGATACTTTGCAAGATTCTGGGGGAGATCAATCTGTCAACAAACATCAGTTTAAGAACTATGTGATCAACAGATAATTTTATTAAGGTTTTTAAAAGAACAATAAAAGATAATACAGAGGAAAAGAAAATAAAGAATACCAAAAAAAAAAATCCCCCCTTTTAAGAAAATTATTTCCCACTTTCATCACAAGTACTAAACAATTTCACCCCTCTAAATTAAGAAATATAAAACTCTTCATCCCATAACCCATGTCTTAGTAATGAGCAAATCAAATAAGTAACCTTATCCAATTATCATCAAAAAGTCTAAATAGAGCTCTAAAATATTAAAATTAATTAACAAATGTGATCAACAGAAATCAGGATGGGTTTGTCAAGAACAAATTTTACCAGACTAATCTCATTTTTTAAACTGGTACTTCAGTAGTCAGGTGGGGAAATGCTGTATATTTAGTACCCCTTGACTTCAATAAAGATTTTGATCACTTGACCTGCTGACTAGCAAGCTTGCTAAATGTTGGCTGGATGGCATGATAATGAATGCATGTATAGCTGGCTCAAAAACTGAATTGAAAGAATGTTCATTGGTGGTTGCCAATCAGACTTAGGTGTCAAAGTAAATGCCAGAAGGATTTATTCTGGGTCCTCTGCACTTTAATACTTTCATTAATGATTTGAACGCAAAGGGGAAAGCATGCTTATCAAATTTGCAGATGATATTACATTGGGTAGGATAGCCAGAAAGCAGAAATAAAATTCAAAATGATCTCAATATGCTGGAGAAATGGCATGAAAGTAACATTCAGCACAGACATGTTCAAAGTTCTTCCCTTAGGAAACCAGCATTGAATGCCTAAGTATAGGATGGAAGATACCTGACTTGTGAAAAAGATCTTAGTATTGATTGCAAATAGGAACCTGAAACCTGTTGTGGCTGCAAAGAATGCAAATGCAATTTGGAGTTGTATCAAGAGAGGTAATTTTTAAATCACATGAAGTAATCATTCCACTCTATTCTGCTTTGACCCCATCTCAGATAATGTGTCCAGATCTGGGCACCTCATTTTAAGAAGGATTCAGAGAAACTGTAACACTTTCAAAGAAGGCCAATGAAGTTTATAAAAGAATTTGAAACTAAACCCTAGGAAGGGGGGGGGGGGCTTGATTATAACTGATGGGGACATGATAGCACTCTTCTGATATTTTAAAGGATGTTGCATAGAAGAAGGTCAAGGCCTGTTCTCTGTCATTCCAGGCTGCAGGGCATAAAATAATGATTTTAAATTCCAGGACTCTGTGACTGAACGTTAGTGAAAATTTCCTAACAGTAGGAGCCATTCAACAGTGGAACCAATTACTGAGAGAAGCAGTGTGCTTCCCTTCATTCGATGTGCTCAAGCAGAAACTACACAACCATCTGTCAGGGATGCTTTAATCTGGAATCTAGCACTGAGCAGGGAGTATGATTTGATGGCTAAAATCAATGGCCCCTCAATTTTTTTGCTTCTAAAAGCACTGAAATTATCTTTAAACCTCAGGCATAAACAACCACACATCTGGTGTTCTGTGATTATTTAAAATATATCTTTAAGCTGAATATGTAAAGAAGACCCATTTTGAGACACATTCCCTGTAATCTATGTCAAGAGTTTTTCACAAAGCTATTTGCTTTTTCAGTATAAGTTTTCAATAAGTATGTTTGTATTTTTAAGACAGCTAAAGCTTCACAAATCAGTGTGGAAGCTTTCATAGTCCCAGGAATTCTTCCTCAGACAATTATGGTTAATATTCTAGGGAAAAAATGGAGAAGTGAGAAGAAAAACTCACTCTGGTAGTAAAATAATTTTTGCACTCATTCAAACTTCAAAGAGTTGTAGCAAACAGTCCTGTCACGTATAGTGCGACACAAAGGTTACACAAAATATTGTTGGGGAATTTCCCTTAATATCTGGTACTCAGCTGAGTACAAATGGCTTTATTTCCTCATCTATCAAAATATTTTATGGAACTTGTCAAGGTTGTTCTTTATTTCCTCTTATTTTTAATTTGGTATTGGTAGCACTGGTCTGTCTTAAACAGAAGGTATTTTGAGTGTAACAGCTGGAGCGAAAGCCAACATTTATTGTATGCTGATGATGTTTTATTGACGATTATGTATATTCTAAGCCAAAACTTACTGATAGTATGCAACGGTTAAGTCACATATCAAGTTATTCAATTAAAAGGAGCAAATCCCTTATATTTACTTATATGCTCTACTAGTTCTAAGTAAATTTGTAAAAACTGGATCTTGTTCAGATTCTTTTTAATATCTGAGAATTCCAAGGAAACCATTTATGAGTGTCAAACTCTTTATCTCAGAACAAGATTGTCAGAGGGTAGGAATGGTAGGAAAGAACCAGACAAACACACAGCTATTGAGTAAAGATAATGCTGTTTATTACTATACAAATATACTGTAATGCAAAGTATATTTAGAAGACTATGTGTATATCTATATGCATATCTATCTATACAGACCTAGCATAAATATGTACTCTAATAACTAACTTAATTTACTACTCTTAACTAATCTTTGTTGAAAAAATGTCAAGAGAAGTACAACTAAAGACAGATAAAACATTATACTGGCTAGACCTACATTTCCAAGTGATGACCTGCTTTCTGTGATGAAAACTGGAATTGAAAAGATCATTATAGTCTAATTTAATCATTTTATAAATTACCATCCCAATATTGCTTATCCCATTTTTTTTTAGTAAGAGAGTACAATAGAATTCAAACAATGATTATACAAAATATAAGTCAAGCTAAATCCACTGACTGTGATGTTGGATGGAATGATACCCAAAGACATCTATTTGTGAATACAGTTGCGTCTCTTTATTCGCAGTACATATGTTCTGTAAAATCATCATGAACACTGAATTAGCGAATACTAAACCATATTTCTCTTAGGGAAAATACAGGACACTTGTTTACAGTATGAGAGCTGAAACAAGAAGGCAGAGCATTGCCTTATTCAGCCTCAGCTGGAAATGTGTGCATCAGGCGACTCAATTTTTTTATTCTCATCCAGTTAATCTGGCAGCAAACCTTTTGGATCCCAGGCAGAGGAAGAAATATCTATTGCTTCCAATATCATTGTCTTCAACTTAATACGGTATATCCTCAACATTTCTGAAATAACTTTGTTGCCAAAAAAAACCCTTCAGCAATGCCAAAAAAAAATCTTCAGGTGAATAGGAGAGAATATATTGCCTTATATATTTGGCATACTGCAACTCCAAACAAATCTCCAGGATTGCTTGATAGGACACTAAGTATTCCACCAATAGCAGATCCTGTGAATGAAACTGGAATGCTTTCAATCAAGACAGAAAAGGCAAATCTTCTACCACATGAATGCACTGCTAAGCTAGTTTCCATTTCTCAAAATATGTTACTTCCAGAGAATCAATCACAAAAGGAGGACAATGGTAAACAGACCTGTGCAGTGTAAGAATTGCCCCTTTCCCATGGACTCTCCCTTAAGTAAAAACAAATGTGATTTGAATAGTTTTGAACAAGTTATGCCTTAGATTTTGATTCCAGCTTACAGGAAGTCTCGCACTACTCCAATGCTCATTTCCAGGGAAGAGAGTAAAACAGTAGACAGTTATAGTCTATTTTCAAGATGCCTTCCTTGGTGTGCTAAAAGTACATTGCAGTTGTATATTTATTTTATTGTCTATTGTCAACATAGTTTCCAACAGTATTTTTCTCCATCTAGCAAAGCTTTTATTTTCTTTGAATGTACAATTCAATCTTCACATATCAAATAATAAGACCCAATACTTGTGCCATGTTAAATATTGAGAGCAATATCTTAATTGGAATTATATTTTTTAATTTCCTGTTCAAAATTTTTAAGAAAAATCCTATCTCTCTTGAGGACCTTCAGACAGAAGATTGACACCTCTCTTGTTAAGAAGGTCTTATTCAGAAGATTGAATTAAATAGTCAACAGACCTCTAGCCAACTCTTAAGACTCCATGGAGCAAAATTCCAAAGTTTTTATATATTAGTACCTTAACTTTTCTTTCACCAAAACAAGACTGAACTATTACAGAGTAAATTCAGTTCAGTTCAAAACATATATTATTTACTTGACAGCAATATGGAAATGGTTTGCCATTTCCCTTTTCTGAGGGTTTGTTGTTATTTTTTACTTCTCAGTCTAGCCTAAAGCGCTGGGATTTTCTAGTAGTTTCCTACCCAAGTACTAATCAGGCCTGTCTCTGCTTAGTTTTTTCATCCAAGGTGAACTACTACTACATGTTATGACAGCTAAATAACCTTTTCATCCATCAGCTGGTTGATATCATCATCATTTATTACGATCACTGACTAGCAAATTAAACAGTCAACATCATAAAAAAATTAAAAAAACAAAGTGGGAAGTCATGACATAGGAAAGGAAGCATAGACATTATCTAGAAAGAATAATAAAATGCCTTAAAATCTGAAACATTTCTAAGATGTCAACAGGAGTACGTATGGGATTTGCTGTAGTACAATAAAGTAAGTATGGATAGCAGGATATTAAAAGTAGAACCTAAGTCTAAAAACAAAATGACTAGAAATACTGTAACATATTAGAATGCCATCTATTGAGTATTATACTATTAAATGAATATATAGGGACATGAATTTGTATGTATGTGTGTATAAGTAAAATCTTATATTGGTTGTTGACAAATAAGATGTGACAGGAGATAAGACCTAAATGCAATGTAAGAAACATAAGAGAACAAAGTAAAAATTGTACATTAATAAAAT